GTAAATAAGGAGTTTTTAAATATATACATACATGAAACAAAGTTATGTATTGATGAGTTGGCTAAAATGTTGTAACCAAAGGATAGCAGGTAGCTAATCCTGTATTTTCCCCAGGAATAGTGATTCAGTATTCCCTAAATCAGTGTTCAAGGCTACTTTATGAAATATAACTACTGCAAATAATGAGAATCAAGTATATTTTGATTGCAGAAGCACTTGGAAGGGATGAGTCTTATGTGAGAGTTACCTGATGTTCATTTTTAGTCTTACTATTTGTATTATATGTATCTCTGTATGAGATAATTCTGTCCTAGGACCTGTTATCTTTTGGAGGAAGCCATTTTTTCCCTCTCATTGATTTTATATAGGTCATTTATAATTTTGACTTGACAAGTCATTATTTTGAAGTTACAAATAGTTTCAAGTCAAGGCCTTTTCTTGTGAAAACTAGATTGCTTCTGCTCAATTTTAATGCTATTTGACTGACAGCCTATGAGCCTGTAAGTTTTTTATAACACCCCCAAACTCTGATACTTTTTGAATATTTTATTGGACAGTCTTATGAGCCTGTAAATTTTTTATAAGACTCCCAAACTCTGATACTTTCTAAATATCTTATTCGAATTCCTAAATAAAAGGTTAGCAATTTCTTTTCTGTAAATGGTCAGACAGTAAATGTTTAAGGCTTTGCAGGACACATAAGATCTCTGGTCACATATTTTTCTTTGCTTTTTGTTTGTTTTTACAAATCTTTTAATATATTGAAAATAAAACATTTTTGGCACAAAGTCCAGGCCGTATTTAGCCCAGGCTTTTAGTTTGCCAATCCTTGTTCAAAATTTTTCAGTGTGTTATACCATCAGCTGCCCCTCTTTAAGATAGTGATGCCTACTTCACTGGTCTAACCTGGGCTTGAAGTGCCCCAATGTGCCAATCTGCCTGTGATTTCTTTTGATAAAAATGTTGGCCTTTTTTGTTTAGAGGCAATAAATATGCTGTATGTTTTTGATTGTTATTATGTTTCTCATTGCAGCCTGATTAACATCAAATACATGTGAGAAGAAAAATGGGGAGTAAGCACAGCCAGTTAATTTCTTTATTTAGCAATCAGAAGGAATGAGAAACTAAAATTAATTGCCTGTTTATCAAGTGCAAG